CCCCAAATGTGGGACGTTGATCAGGTCAAAGCCAGTGGCACTGGAGGGGAAAGAATTCACCTGAGGCAGATCAATGGAGATAGACAAGGGAGGGTAAGACCACAGAAGAGAGGCTGCTGCAAGGAGGCCGTGGGTGGAGGCTGTGTTTAAAAGGGGAAGATGATGCGATATGGCAACCTGTGGACCTCTCTTTTTTGCTAATTGTGCCGAATTGTAACTAGCCCATTGGTCAGTGAGGGCCTGTGGATATTTTGAGTCGGGTCACCTGATGGACCTGTCTGTATTCCATCCCTCAAACCTGTTTGCCAAAAAGCAGCCTCTACAATTGCCTTTGTCATTTGAGAGGCCACGTGACTGGCTATCACTACACAGGCCTTTGCATCAGAATGTGCTTGATAAGAAGATCACTTACCATTCTCCCACTTTCTGTACTCTCATTGGGAAACCCTAAAATGTTTCTTGAGAGAACAAATCAAAACATCTTATGCATGTTGGAATTCAACCGTTCTTAGTTCACATCTCCTTTGAGAAAGTTATGGAGAGAAAGTAAAACTTAATAGGTGAGTGGGTGGAATTCATGCCATATAAGGAAGCACTCCAACTCTCACATGCAAAACTCATTGCTCTATTATACCCAGAAGCCAGAGAACATTGTGGTACATTGCAAAATAGTCATAAGTTCTTTGCAGCTGATAGTATTAAGAACTGCAGTGTTAACTCACCTCTTAAATTGAATTAGTACTGTGACTTGCTTTTACTAATAGAATGTAGTGGAACTTCTGGTGTGAGTCTAAATTTGGGCTGAGGAAGCCCTGCTGCTTCTCTCTTGCACTAAGGGGACTTTCAGCACCTTGTGAATAAGTCTGAGCCCACCTGATAGATGGTGAGCCCAAATGGAGAGGCCCGGCAGTCTGGGCTGACACAGTGGCTGCCACAGACTTGGGAGCACCTGAAAATAGAGAAGCTGCCCCAGAACAGAGTGCCCACATGGGCTTGGCACCATTTGCTGTCTTCCAGAATCATGAGAAAATATTAAAATGTTATCTGTTAAGGAAGATGTGGTCCATATACACTATGGAGTATTATGCCTCCATCAGAAAGGATGAATACCCAACTTTTGTAGCAACATGGATGGGACTGGAAGAGATTATGCTGAGTGAAATAAGTCAAGCAGAGAGAGTCAATTATCATATGGTTTCACTTATTTGTGGAGCATAACAAATAACATGGAGGACATGGGGAGTTAGGAGAAGGCAGTTGGGGGAAATTGGAAGGGGAGGTGAACAATGAGAGACTATGGACTCTGACAAACAATCTGAAGGGTTTGAAGAGGTGGGGGGGGTGGGAGGTTGGGGGAACCAGGTGGTGGGTATTGGAGACGGCACGGACTGCATGGAGCACTGGGTGTGGTACAAAAACAATGAAAACTGTTATGCTGAAAATAAATTTAAAAAAAAAAACGTTATCTGAAAGCATTCCATTTTACAGCAGTTTGTATACAGAAAAAGCTGATGAGACAACATCCTTCACAAAAAACATTCTATTTCCTAGTGATATCTTGGCACTCCCGTGGCTCATAGGCTCTCCAAACCCAACCTGCCACAGGGACAAGGTTGGATGAATGAGGGAAAAGCTATGGGCCATCCCCGGCCTAGTGCCATTAATATTAGGCAGTATAGAGTTGCTATCGTTTGTGAGTATTGCCATGTGCCAGGCACCGGACTGTATCTAAACCTTAAATTTGTACTTATTTATAATTTCATTTCATCATATACTATCACATAATTGTTTTCATCCCCTTTTATAGAAAAGTTCACTCAGGCTGATATATTTTGAGTGACTTGCCCAAGGTGATGCAGTTACTTATTTGATTACAAAGTCTGTCCTCTTCTTTCTTCTGCTGCTCTGGACTCAGTTATTGCTGTGAGGCATCTTTAATGTCTGCAAGATGGGAGAGGCTTTGGTCTTTTTAGTAAAACTTCACCAATGCATAATAACCAGGGTTAGGACAGGGCAAAAGAATTGAAAGTCAGAACTAAAGAATTTGAAAATGCACAAGTCCCTAGAAAATGTTATAAATGTTAATTAGAACTAATCTACACTCTGTCTAAATAATTTCTTAGACGGCTTCCAATGATGTCACTTAGTTGGACATATTCTATTTATATTAATAATGTTCAGTTAAATCAATGGAGGAAATTAGTGTTTTTTGAGAAAATTATTAGACAAGGAACTATTTTAAACTCCAAATTTTATTTCTGCCATTAATTTATTTAAAATGGGCCTTTCATTTTCCTTTAGACAGTGTTAAGAAATTCGTTTTTTTCAAAAATGGCACACCATTCCTCTGAATCTAATTCACTACTAATTTTACCTTATGTTAAAATTATGACCTGAAGACTGAAGTGACTAGAACAGGTTCCTTGGGTGACAGCAGGAGGAAGTGAGACAGAGTTAAGTTAAAGACAAAGCTCATCTTCTTTTAGTTAATGAAATGGGCTTGCTTGGACTTCAGCATCCCCCAGGATTTGAGATCTGAGACTGGACCTTCAACTTCCCATCCAAGTTGCAATTCTGATCCATAGTGCTGACACCCTAACTTCCCAATTTGAGTTGAATTTACTTTAAGAATGACATTAATGAGTAACATTCAGAGCATCATCAAGAAAGATTTTGTCCATTTGTCAAAATCTTGAGGCAAAGGTATTCCTTGACCACCACCAGCAGAAATACCCTAGGCAGGTAAGTCAAAATTTGGAAAATTTTACATGCACTATGGAAGCAAAAAGAAAGACAATTAATCCATATTCAGAGGCCAGGAAAAGGATAAGAGTTAGGGATTGTCATGGAAGGAATCAATTTATGGGAGAATTTTTAGAGATTATAACCCAGAAAAACCTGAAGAAGACCATATTAATGATGATCAGAAATTCCCACCCCTCTTGCCACCAGCAAGTATACACACCCATAAGAAGATTCTGATTTAATACCCTCCCTCCTTTCCTAGAGAATTCCCCCAGGAGGCTACATCAAAACAAGGGAAGTTCCCTAACCCTTTCCTGGCTTCTTGGTACAAGCTCTTCAACTGGCAACAGAAGTGTCATTAGAGGGGATTTTTCTGATTGGCCGGAACCTAACCTGGCAGGGTTTGGCTTGTTGTCTTTAGATTCCCTTCCCAGTTGGGTTCTTACCACTGCTTTGCAACTCAGAAGGGCAACTGTGGAGACCACATTGAAAAAAGGATGACCATGAACAGAGTTCTCATTCTGGGGACTCTTGCCCTGACCACCATGCTGAGCCCTGGTGACAGTGAAGACATTGTGGGTGAGTGCACAGCTGAGGGATGTGGGGACTAGACTTGGGGAAAAGAGTTGGAAGGGGGAAAAAATAGAGATTGGCATAGAAATAGCAGAGACTCCTCAAAGGTATCCTCAATATTAAGCAAATCTAAAAATTATGGTCACTCCTCTCTGCTACCTGTGCTGTTGCAGAGTTCATCCTTTCTAATATCAGATCCAGTGAATATAGCCTGCAGGTCTCAATCGCATTTATTTATGGTGGCCTCCAAGATTAAAGATGTTTCGACGAGTGGATGTTTTGTTACTAAAAATTCAAGAATTATTGCTCTTAAATATGTCTAAACAACATTGTGAAGCTTTTTATATGTTTTTTCTGTAGTCTTACTTTGGGTAAATAGTTCCATAAATTATGTATACTATGTAGATATCAAGAAGGGTGTCCTTTTGATGAAGAGAGTAAGACCTCAGATTTATACACATTTTCATGCTTCAAAATGGCAAGGGGGGAGTGATTAAACAAGCCCACCTGAATACATTTAGACAAGTACCACATGACCTCATATGTGTCACTTCACAAATAATCAAGTAAAATATGAATTTAGAAATACTTTTCCAATAATGAAGACATAGAAATGTCAATGATCATTCCTCTTTCTTAATTATTACTATTACAGGTGTGACTTAATAATTTTTTAAATTTTATTTCAGAATGGTTAACATACAGTGTTAACATTAGTTTCAAGTGTACAATATAGTGATTCAACAATTCTATGCATTACTAAGTGCTCATCAAGATAAGTTTACTCTAAATCCCCTTCACCTGATTTAATCATCTCCCTCCCAGCCACCTGCCCTCTGGTAACCATCAGTTTGTTCCTTACTGTTAAGATTCTGTTTTTTGATTTGTCTCTTTTATTTGTTCATTAGTTTTGTTTCTTAAACTCCACAAATGAGTGAAATCACATGGTCATTGTCTTTGACTGAATATTTTGCTTAGCATTACAATATCTAGTTCCATCCAGGTTGTTGAAATGGCAAGATTGCATTCTTTTTATCACTGGGTAATATTCCATTGTGTGTGTGTGTGTGATCTTCTTTATCCATTTATCTGACAATGGATATGGACTGCTTTCATAATTTTTTTAACAGAGTAGAGAGTATCTTTCCTTTATTTTAAAATTGAGAACTTTATGATCAAAAACTTGGTTAATTAAATTACATTATTCTCAAACTGTCAACTCAAATGACCTGTCTTCCATCCTACATAATGGAGACCCTTAAAAGGAAAACGGGGCAAGTACACACTAATTATATAAAAACCAAAGTAGAAAAAACAAAAAGTTAAGAGGGAACATGAAATGGAGTGTATCGTAATTTTTACCAACTTTGTTAACCATGACTGCTCCCATTCTAATTTCATTTGCTGATGGAAGTTTCACTTGCTTCTCCAGAGAAATTCCAATTTCCTTTCTTCAGTGTCACACCAGAGCACCCTGCTCAGGCTCAATGTATCCATTATGTATAGTAAGCACAGTGCCACCATGAAAATGTTTTAATTTAAAAAAAAAAAAGAATGAAAAGAATAAGAAAATATTTTAATTTCCTTTAAAATTAGAAGAAACAATGAGCTTGTAGAGTAGAAGTAAATGTTTTAATTTTTAATACAGCCTGGATTATATTTGTCTTTATACCAGTGCAGTCACAAAATATGATTTTTAATATTTTATGAAAAAAGAGGAGCCAAAAGTGCTTAGGCTCACAAGTCATAAGAGAGCCTTGGTGACTGCTGATTCTGAACTTCATATGGTTCTGCTACTTCTGTGTCTATCAGTCTCTACTCCCCCAGATTTCTGTGATCCTCAAGAAAAACAATTGACATTCAATATGCACTTTAGAGCATATAGTGAGATAAATTTGGGGGATTCAAAGGTGAAAAGACATACTGCTGCACCCTGGTGCAGGAAAGCAGAAGCATTGCTGAGCAGGACCCTGGGCCCAGCTAAGACTGAAACTATAAAAGTAAACTGGTTGCATTTAGCCCAGCAGTGTGATGTTTGGCAACAGGACAGGTACCAGATGAAAACAATAATTGCATATATTCATGTTTGAAAAAGGAGTCAAGGATAAGGTATAATGGATAAAGAGGCTTTGTTGGAGGACCTTTTAAGTAATCAACCAAGGGGGTCATACTGGGCAAAGAGAGTGAATTGGATGAGGTATAAATGCGGAGAGCAAGACACTGGGATGAAGGTGCTGGAGGGTATAATGTGGTCAAAAACATGTTCAATGAGAGAACTTAGTTAAAACCTAGTAACTAAGCAGGAACTTGGATAAGGAATTGGAGGTGTCCAGGAAATCTGTAGAGAACTTTGTTTCAAGGAGAAAGACCCCTGCAAAGACCAAGGAACATGAATGAATAACATACTCTGGTTTGACTGGGCAGCTGAGGTATTTGTGGAGGAAGTGGGACCATAAGACTGCTGCTGTTCCCTTCCAGGTCTCACCACAGCTTCCTGTCTTTGTTCCTGTACTCACTTGGCTCTACTGTCAGCAATAAGCTCCTTGAAGACAGAAACCATACTGACTGGTGTTTTACTCCCTGCTCCTCACGGTGTCTGACATCTCACTGATGTTCTGTAAATGAGGAGGAACATAAAGAGGAAATGAAATGAAACTAATATACGTCTTCAAAAAATTGTCCAGTTAGGCTCACTGAGTGAAGTCCTACTGCTGCCATTCTAATTTGGTGTCCTTACACAAGCATATTGTCCATTTGAGGAAAAGAGCCATAGTTTACCCTGAGTCCTAAATATATAGATATGTTGAGTCAGAATAAAGAGAGAGGTTTAGTAAACTCCTTGAAGGGAAAAAAAAAAAGTGGAGGGATAGGGAGTTCAGAAATCTAAAATCTGATAAAAATTTCATTTTGTATTTCTAATGAAATCAAGTGCTCTCCTCTGAGAATTGCAGTCGTTAACAAAACAATCACCTTAGGAGCATTATTTATATTGTATAAACTTTGTAATATTCTCACTGTCCTTGTCATACTCCTTCTTTTTTACCCAATAATGGTTAAGAAACTCTTTTAAAACAATATGGTCCTGAGTGCTTTTCCTTGGAAAACTATTAATAAGCTGAAGGAGAAGAGGGAGATGTAAGTGGAGGAAGGAAGGAATACTACTGTAGAAAATGTTCTGCTCCTAGCCAGTCCTGGGGGAAGAGGAATCAAAATGTGTTATTAATGAATGAAAGAGTTAAGTAAGGATAAAACTTATGCAACAGAGGAAAGTAAAGTGAATTTCTGAGAAAGGAAACTCAAACCATGATAGTTTGTTCATTTCATTTCATTATAATAACATTTATCACAAGCCTCCTGAGTATACCAGGTGCTGAGCTAGGCACAAAGAAAATAGGAGTAAACAAGGCAACTGAAATTCAGCTCTCATGGAGCCTACATGATGGTGGAAAAGCAGACTATATTCTAACTGGACAGCTACTAACACAGAGAGAAGGAGCAGAGGGTAGGTGCTGGGAAATATACCTAAAGTCTGTGCCAAAGGGGTCACCTGGGTGGCTCAGTCAGTTGAGTGTTTGACTCTGCCACTCACCCCACTTAAACACTCACTCTCAAACAAATATCTTAAAAAAAAAAAAAAAAAAAAGAAGACTGCCAAAGATGAAGCCCACAATATTTGAAAGCCAGTTTCTTCTGTCACTTGGTTTAATAAGGTTCTTTTCTCCCTCTGTTTTCTACTTCCTGTTCCTCAACCTTACTGACCAGCTGATCATGTTGCTTCCTATGGCATAAATGTCTACCAGTCTTATGGTCCCTCTGGCCAGTACACCCATGAATTTGATGGTGATGAGGAATTCTACGTGGATTTGGAGAAGAAGGAAACTGTCTGGCAGCTGCCCGTGTTTCAAACATTTACAAGTTTTGACCCACAAGGTGCACTGAGAAACTTGGCAATAGCAAAACAAAACTTGAACATCCTGATTAAACGCTCCAACTATACCGCTGCTACCAATGGTATGTGTCCACCACTCTGCCTCTCTTTACTGAATCTATCCCTACATATCAGGTCTCATTCCCTTTGTCCCTATGAAACATACCCTTGACTGCTTTCCAAGGATCTTTCCCAGATCTTCTCATAGTAATTACTGAACACTCATTCTCCGCCATCTCAAAACTGAAATATTGTCACATAATACAAGGATCCTTATTCCCATACCATGTTCCTTGAACCCCTCAAGGAGAAGTCCTATAGATCTGCTACTTCAACAAGCATGCCCACGGGGGAAGGGCACAAGGATAAAATACAGGCAGTATATAAATAGCATTTCCCAAGCAGAAGGTAAGTAAGAACTCTTCTACCATCAGATGGGGAACTGTTGGTGGACGGGCTCTTGCAGGACACAGTGCAGAACCTCAGGGCAGAGCTCTTTGCAATTCATATCAGTGCTGCTTCCTCACCACAGAGGTTCCTGAGGTGACCCTGTTTCTAAAGTCTCCTGTGATGCTGGGTCAGCCCAACACCCTCATCTGTCTTGTGGACAACATCTTTCCTCCTGTGATCAATGTCACGTGGTTGAAGAACAGGCACTCAGTCACAGAAGGTGTTTCTGAAACCAGCTTCCTCGCCAAGAAGGATCATTCCTTCCTAAAGTTCAGTTACCTCACCTTCCTCCCTTCTGCTAATGATATTTATGACTGCAAGGTGGAGCACTGGGGCCTGGATGAACCACTTCTGAAACACTGGGGTACGTATGAGTTCCACTCCCTTGGCACCTTCTTTCTCTATCAAGTCCAGGATATCCTGCCTTTGAGCCTACGAATCTCATGTTTTCCACACTTCCAAAGTTTCAAATAATAGACTTTACCCTCTTCCTTATCCATGGTGCCCTGAGTCCTCATAGAACCAAAACCATCCCTCCCGCTCCATCCCACACACGTGTGCATGAACCAGCACTCTGTGTTCTGACTTCTACAACCTCATTTTCACAGAACCTGAAATTCCAGCCCCTATGTCAGAGCTGACAGAGACCGTGGTCTGTGCCCTGGGGTTGGCTGTGGGCCTTGTGGGCATTGTGGTGGGCACTGTCTTCATTGTCCAAGGCCTGCGCTCAAGTAGTACTTCCAGACATCAAGGACCCTTGTGAGCCACACCCTAGGAAGGAAGGTAAGCATTCAGATTTGTCAGCGCTGAGAGCTGGAGACACAGCACAGGAGGAAGGAAACTGGGAGGAATTTGTGGACACAGATACGGTTGAAAGGTTGTAGGAGTCTGGGGGAGGGCATGATGACAGTACAGGAGCCCCCTAGGATCAACCACCCCATATTGAAGGAGCACTGCATGCCCACCAACCAGAGTAGAAGAGTAGACGTGATAGGTGATCTAACACAATTGCCTGGCGGAGCTCATCATATTCCTTCTCTCTCCAACGCTCCTCCTCTCACCTATTTTCTGGAACTTGAGATCCTCCTATACCTCTGAAAGCTCCCATACCCCTTCTGCCCCTTGAATGCCTGACTTTTTTTTTTTTTCTTTTCTCAGTTGTTACCTACAGTGAGCTGTCTGGGATATTCCATCCAGTTCCCTGATTCTTTGTAACCCTGATCCATTATTCCCGTGGAAATAATAAATTTCCTTTTATGAGATCTTTTAGTAAAACTTGTCTGTCTTTCATCTCAGGGATGACTATGACTGTGGCCCCTTATGCCTCAGGTCCATTTAATCTCACTTTCCAGATTATTTTCATGGCCAGTTACATGGGATCAAGCAAGTATAGACTGATAATATTTTGATATTATAGCTGATGTTAATATTCTCTCTTCCTATTATTCCCACACTAGGGCACTACCACTCTCCTCCCACTTCAGACATTAATGAAAGTAATATTAGAACTGTGTCCTCTGTATAGATTCTTTATAGAAGAAATACAAAAATGAAGAAACAAGTTCATACTCATTTAATATGGTTTTTAAAAGTTATGACAGAGAAATAAGTTGGAATAATGGAATTTTGAATTTCAAAATACCAAAAGTCAAAATTGTTTTCCAAAACTTGAAAATTTCAATCTGTGAAGAATGATTGATAGTAGGACCAGCATTCCTCTCCCTTACTCATCCAGGAGAAGATGAGAATTGGGAAAAAATGGACGTCAGTCAGGAGAGGTTAGAATAAGACCATAAAGTCCATATCTAAGAAGAACCAAATACTTTGTTCTTACTTAGGGATAGTAACAACAGGAAGAGGAATGGGAGTAGAAACCACAGGAATATTTAAGTTTCTGAGAACACAGGTGCAGTTTGCCTCACCTCCTACATGAATCCCTGCTAGATAAGCACAGAGACTTTCCTGTACCACCATGGCATGACAGGGACACTAGAATGAATATAGTTGCAGGATGTTTCTAGGCAGATCAGTTAAGATCAGTGAATCCCTGTGTAGCCCTGTGCACCCTGGGAAACAGAAAAACACTCCAATAACTCCAGCCCCCTGCCTCTCACCCCTCACCCTTCCTGGTCAAGGGAAGAATGAACCTATAAGAGAGAAATCCCAGGAGGGACAACATAGTGGGGATAATGTACTGGCAGCTATGGATGCTGCATCTTCTTCTAGATTCATTGTCTCCTAGTGGAAACTCTGGCAGAGGAAATGGTCTACAGATGGAATTCTCTGGCTTTCCTGAGTGTGTCCAAGACTTTACTCTTGAACATGTATGTGACTTGACTTGGGTCATTTTGCCCTTTGAAATTGTTTTAGGCATAATTTTGCCCCAGTCTTTTCATTCTGCACCTGCTGTGTCCATACATTGTATCTAAGACACTATTAGGGAATTGCTGTGAAATGTATGAGGCTGTCCCTGTCCATGCTCCCCTGCATGAACGAGCTTAAAATATAATTGGGGGGAAGAAGATAATTTTAGTACAATAGTTGATACTTCATAGTTTGATGGAAAGAAGCCTAAATTCAATTCAGGATTTAGCACTTTATAGCTAGTATTTTAAACATGATAACACAGAATAAATATATTCTGAGTTATATATTTCTCATCCATAATAGGGAAGTGATAAGACTTTCTTACAGTTTCAACAGAATTTTAAAAATCTTGATATTTAGGCTGTGCTTTACACATAGTATACAAATACATAAGAAAACATTGCTAGTTCTATTCATAATTAATTTTTTAAAAGGATGGATCATATCATATAGAAAGGATTTCTGTTTTTCTGAGTCTGTTAATGATGTAGGAGATTCAAACATGCAGCTATGAATTAATTTCTTTTCATAAGTTAATGAGAGGATTTTTTTTCAGAAACAGATACTGAGATTGGGTTAAGCTAAGAGAACAGATGGAGTATTGCATTCAGTGACATATCACTGGTGGAAGGTTGTTAAAAGAATTATTAGAACAAAAAGTTGAAATATTTGACTTTCGGTTTTCAATCTCTAATAAGAGATTTATTTTCCCCATTATGGCACATAAATTTTTAGACAAGATATGTTATATGTAAGCGATCTTATGTCTGTTTACTCTGAGGGGAAGTGGGAAAGATTCAAGGAGAAAAAGCTACCTGTGTGGTAGAAATAAGACAATAATTAAAAATTCAGGCTAGGAATTGATAAATTTGACTCAGAGGTTATCATGAAATTATAAGTAATAGAACACAGGATTTTAGGCCAGTGAAACTACTCATGGCGGACACATGCCATTACACATTTATTCAAACACACAGAATCTACACCAAAATGAACCCTAATGTAAACTACGAACTTTGGGTGATAATAATCTGTCAATGTTGTGTCATCAATTGTAATAAATGTACCACTCTGGTAGGGGATATTGATAGTAGGGGAAGCTGTACTTAGTGGGGACAAGGATATATGGGAAATCTGTGTACTTTCCACTCAATTTTGCTATGAACATAAAACTACTACAAAATAAAGTGTATTAAAACAAAACAGGGGCGCCTGGGTGGCTCAGTGGGTTAAGCCTCTGCCTTCGGCCCAGGTCATGATCCCAGGGTTCTGGGATCGAGCCCCACATCGGGCTCTCTGCTTGGCAGGGAGCCTGCTTCTCCTTCTCTCTCTGCCTGCTGCTCTGTCTACTTGTGATCTCTCTCTCTGTGTCAAATAAATAAATAAAATCTTTAAAAAAAAACAAAACAAAACAAAACAAACAAAAAGCAGCAGGATGCCTGGGTGGCTCAGTCAGGTAAACGGTTAAGCATCTGCCTTTGGCTCAGGTCATGATCCCAGGATCCTGGGATCAGTTCCCTCACCCAGCCCCTTGCTCGGTGGGGATCCTTCTTCTTCTGCCTGCCATTCCCCCTGCTTTTGTGCTCCCTTTCTCTGACAAATAAATAAATAAACAATCTTTTAAAAAATAAAACAGAAAATGTTAGCAATTAAGATACCAAATGTATAAAATAAAAATTTTAGTATAAAAAAAGTAGATCACCTGAAAATGCACGAACATGCTCAGGAAGAGTTTTTGGCATTAGGCTTTCAAATTAATGTTATATAAATTGAAATGACTCACGAGGTGAGAACCCAGGAATTTAGACATTGTGGGTGTGTGTTTGTGTGTGTGTGCTCATCTGTGTGTTATTCTAAGAGTTACATTAAATCTCATGACTAGTGTTCCAGGAATAGACAAATGTTGACCTACTCAGACTCTTTCCCAAGAAATACTGACAAAAACAAATTTAATGGAAGTTGCCTTTTATTAAGGGGATTCATTCATAAAGTCTTCAAATAATTTTTTTAAATTTTTTTTAAGATTTTATTTATTTGTTAGAGAGAATGAGAGAGAGCATGAGAAGAGAGAGGTCAGCTGGAGAAGCAGACTCCCTGCTGAGAAGGGAACCAGATGTGGGACTTGATCCAGGGACTCCAGAATCATGACCTGAGCCGAAGGCAGTTGCCTAACCAACTGAGCCACCCAGGCGCCCCGAGTCTTCAAATAATTTTAAAACAGAATTAAAATTGTTTCTTAAGAAAAGAACAATAATTTCATTTTTTCAACTAAAAGTTAAAATGGATCACCACATGACATTATTATAAACAAAGTTAGATATCAATCCTCATGATATTAAATTATGATTCTGAAAAAATTATTTGAGTTCTTTGAACTATTTCTGGTTGTGTACATAAAGTGTGGCTTTATTAATATTTATTATTAATATCATACCATTTTAAGATACATAATTAGAAAATCACATTTTTTTCAGCAAATAATTTGCAAGAAAAATAGAAAACAAAAACTTCACATTAAAAAATACTGAATACATATCAACCAAATGTTAGGCTTTGTTTGGATGCATATTCGAACAAAACAGCTATTGAAAAATTCTTTTGAGACAATCACAAAAATTGTACATGTTAGGTCGGTGGTGCCAGGAATGCGGGAGGAACAATAAAAATGGCTGCCAAGACTCTTCCGCCACCATAAGTAACCCGATACCTATGCAGGAAACCGGAAACATCAGGACTCCCCCAACCCTCCAATCACCAAATACCTTACCTTATATGGCTGTGAACCTATGCCACGTCTTACCCAGATAAAAGACCCACTGAAAACATCCCATGCTCGACTTCCCTGACTCCCCTCTCTGGAATTGCGGAACTTTGCCCAAGGGCGCTTTTAATAAATCTTGCCTTGTGCCTATCTTGCCTGGTGTCCCGTTTATCTCGCCTGTAAAACCTTATAGTACACTGACTGTATTAAGAATTATTTTTTCTAATTTACGGGTGGTAATGGCAATGTTATGTTTCTAAAAAGTCATTCTATTTTAGATTTTTATAATAAAATATTCATCAGGAACATGATATAAGGGGCACCTGGGCGGCTCAGTGGGTTAAGCCTCTGCCTTCAGCTCAGGTCATGGTCTCAGGATCCTAGGATCGGAGCCCTGCATCAGGCTCTCTGCTAAGTGGGGAGCCTGCTTCCCCCCTTTCTCTGCCTGTCTCTCTGCCTACTTGTGATCTCTTTCTCTGTCAAATAAATAAATAAAATCTTAAAAAAAAAAAAAAGAACATAATATGATGTATAAGATAACTTCAAAATAACCCAGGATATGTGTAAGATTAAGTATGTGGGTTTACAAAATTATCCATGAATTAATAAATATTAAAGTCCTATTGCATGACACTATTTTCTCCACTACTATACATAGTTGAAATTTTCCATAATACAAAATTTTTCAAAAGTATTCCAAGAAAGACAAAAACAAACAAACAAACAACAACAACAACAAAAAACACAGGGAGGCTTTCTTTTGAATTTACTTTGGTTTTTAAGTTTTCCCTCATTTTTTCCCAGTTAGGAAAATGTGAGTATCCAAATCCACCTCCAGACCACAGAACTCCCAGAAATGTAACACAAAAGAATATGTATGTTACAAGAAATAAGAGTTAAGGAAAGCAAAGTAATGTTCACTATGTTATTGGCTGACCTAAGTCCCAAATTTGTTAATATATACACTAATTTAATTAATAATGTGAAAATAAAAATGGTCATTGAATACCAGTGTTGTGATACATACCATGCTATGTTCTGTGTGTATTAAAATAATGTAAAAGCAGATACATTCATTGTTTTCACAGAATTTACATTTCAGTGGGAAGAAATATACATATATAAAATTCCATT